ATTCCACACATTCTGGGACACTGTGTGTGTGTGTGTGTGTGTGTGTGTGTGTACGTGCATATATGTGCATGCAGTGCAACTACTGTTTATTATCAAGTGAAAGCTGGTTTGGTGACAGTTTCATGTTTGCCAACTGTGAGTGTCATGGTATAGTAAAAACTAAAGGAGTGGACAAATCAAATCATCGATAATATCTCTCTACTTTGCAACCATAGATTTACAACCAGCATACTCTAGAAAGGTGGTGCTGCTACATCATAAACGTAAGATTAAACCCATTTAGTCATTCAAAGGTCAGCAACAACAGTTTTTAGATTGACTTAAATGACTTAAAACTCTCATGTCTGTACGTTAAATATGAGGCTAGACATTTAGTTTATTAGCATAAAGATGGGAAATATATATTGGTTTTGCTTCCAGTCTTTATGTTAAGCTCATTGCCTGCTGGCTGTAACTTCATAGTGTACAGATACAGGAACTGTATTGTTCCAAACATAAGCTGAGTGTGCCTCTACACTGAAGCTAGCCAGGAAATAGCTTAGCTTAGCATAAAGACTGAAAGCAGGGGGAAACATTTAGCCTGACTCTGTCCAAAGGTAACAAAACCTACCTACCAGTACCTCCAGAGCTCTATAATTAAATCTTTATAACTTGTTTAATCTGTACAAAAACTACGAACAAACTTATTTTCCAAGATGTCAATCAATTACTTTAATGTCCTTAAAAAGCTCTACATTGGGTATTTCTATGATAATACAGTAGCTCAAAAGGGATATAAATTAGCATTCATATATTTGTATATTAACACCAAAACACAGACTTCTACTGTAATTTCCAAGGTACATGTATTCTAATATCTGACAACCAATAAAAATACATTTGATGCAGAAAGTGTGCTAAAGCATTGCCCAAATTCCCTTATTCAATAAAAAACAAAATGTCCGTTGTTTGGCCTGCACATTAGTCTACTAATAGCTGGCACAAAAAAATGATTTAGCCCTAAGCTTTGCTTATTTAAAGTGTCTAACTCTTTTTCACTACAGCAGCAGTGATTGGAGGGGAGACAGGAATTCATCTCAGCTGACTGTCACCCTGACAGAGAGATGATACACACACCAGATGGATCATCAAACACAAAGCTCAACCCTGTTAATATTTTGGCCAGTTGAAATATTATGTTTGAACATCTAATCTGTGGCCAGAGACCTCTACTAATAACTTCTATATCTGTCTTATATCCCTTCTTAGCTGCCTGTATTAGTCAATTAATAGACTGATCTTTTACTTTCTTCAGTGTTATTGTATGATGAGTCTCTCTTGATATCTGTGTAATGTTCCTTTTTAATTGAATTGGCTCTTGAAACGAACATGTAGCAATAATATTTCAGCTGTTTCGGTGTCTGGAAAGCGGTCAAAAAGAACAGTACTCTGAGAATTACACGTATGCATGTATGTCATAAAGCCTCTTTCACATTTCAGAAATACTATATCTTATATTTATTTATTTTAATTGTTTCATTATCTAATGGAAAACACCTCAAGCTGTTTCAGCTTCTATATTTCTGCACAAAATTTACCTGGCTGTTTCACCACATCAGTTTTGGTTATCAGTTTAAGTATGACTCATATCCAAGAACAGACCGATATCTGAGTCCCTAGAGAGCGGTAGAGATCAGACTCACTATTTTAAAAAGCAGGATCTGGTTTCTTTATCCATCTGTCTCCATCATGCAGTCTCCAGCTAATTAGAATACAAAGATGCCAGCAACAGGAGTTTGGTCTCTGGCTACTGGCCTTGCATTTCAAAGGGTGATGGCATGCCCCAGGGTACACAAGTGGTTCCACTCTAGTTCTCACCTTTACATTGCTTTTTCAGAGCTTGGCTGATGTGTAAGGTGAAGCTGCCCTTGAGCACCAACAAGGGAAATATATTCCTAATCTCCTGTTCATAACCTTAAAGTGACATTTCCACTTGGCAGAAAGTTGACACTCCCTCCTTCACATTCATTATTCACAAGTTCATGAATGGCTGACCATCTCTGAAATATATTTTTAAAATTATACTGGGAGGATGAGGTAGTGTTTCTTTCTTTTCTTTACTTTGATGAGAAGACCTGAAACGGCTCAGAAAAAAAGTACATTTTCATCAACTGCTTTATGTGCTGAGGAAAATTGTGTGATATGTTTGAAAGCTCTAGTTTGAGCAGCTATTAAATGGACTTGGTGGTGAGACAGTTTTTTCCCCCCGATTACTTACAAGACATTTAGGAACAAACATGAGTCAAATTGACTCAGGGTAACGAATTGCAACAAAACTGGCCATCAGACATTGGTTTACAAAGACAGAAAATAGAATAAAATGGAAGTAGAACTGATTACTGTCTCTTGAATCACGCCATCTTGCTCCTGTTTTAATATAATTGTGATAACATTTTATAGGATTATCACAAACACTGGATCGAAATGTTTAGAAATGGCGGCAAAAGCTTTAACTATTGCTGGTACTGGCCCTGATTCATATACCTAACAATAAACCTGACTGGTGTCTCTGGGAATCATCCAATGCTCATAAAAGAAAGAGACTTTATTACACTGTTTTGAAAAACAAGCTGGAGCAGAGTGCTGTGTTCATGTTGGAGAGGGCAGCCATGGTCTCCTGTCCAACCAGCTGTTGTTTTGTAGACTAAACTGAGTGTGCTGTTAAGACGACGAGGGTTCCCACTGGCCAGCAGCTCAGCCTGGCACAGTAATTACTGAGATGGCTGTAGACAGGTGAGGGCTTCATTACACAACCCACCCATAACACACTGGCACACACTGACACCGACACACACACACACAAATGTCTCATGCACGCAAACACACACAACGACATCCACCCAGAGGGGCTGTAGAGTCATTAATCAAGCTGTAGAGGAATTCATACACAGGATTTGAGCATCTGTCCTGATGTGTGGTATTGTGTTTTGTTTAAAAGGATGCATAAGAAGTAAGCCATGCAGCCAATTGTGATAATACTTTTTCATTCTCTGGGATCACAAGATTATCCTCAGTTGCTAGAATTTGAGTGGAGTTCGATGATGGATGAATGAAATGGATGACCATGAAACGGCTCCCGTGGATAGCCCCCCTATATACTTACATTTATATCCCTTAGTATCAAGTTAGCGGGGCCTATAGAATCTTCCCTGGAGCATTTTGGTCTGTCTTTTGTTAGAAGATTAGCAAAGCATGCAGCATGGATTTGCCATCAGGGTTTAGGTCCTATATATTGGAGCCACAGGGCAAAACGCTGGACGTCAGTGAGGCTTGGATATACCAAGTGAGCTATGGGTAGTTAAGTAGAGAGAAAAGAAAGACTACTTACACAAAAAGAGCACAAGTAATCCTATCATTAGCTTGATACTATAGATATATACCAGAGCATAACAATATGTCCCTGCTGGGATATTACACCCTAGGAAATAAATAGCAGTGTTATCTATGGAAAGTACAAAGACTAAAAAGTGTTATAATCTCACTAGAGACACATTATGAGTAACAAAGATAGAGAGCAGTGAAACACTAAAGATTTCACACTGTCTCACACAGGTTCTGGTTGAATTGGGAATGATAAAGGAACAGTAGTGCTCTGATGCCAGCAGGGCTGTCAAGGTTCTGGTTAACAAGATTTGAAAGAAATGACTCACACGGTACAAGATGGATGGATTTATTTAACCTGGAATTTTCTGTTTTCATGACAGAAATATTTCTTTCTTTATTCTCATTCATCTTGTGAATGCTGCTTATTAATTTCTTTTGAAGACAGGGGTATGGGGATTTTATACCCTCAGGCCTTCAGTGTAGCAATATATTTTCAGCAGCATATTACTAGTTATTTGTTATGTTAACAAAGTACATTCAGTTACCTATATTTTCTTTCTATCGTGAAATCGTGACGACTTCTGTCCTTTTATTCAGGTGATACACGTGAGGGCAGAGTAGGATGCTGTGCTATATAAATGTGTAGAAAGTGACAAACTAAATCAATAATTTTGCTGTTTTTTATTGTTTCAGTTTATGTTTCATATCCTACAGGCTGACCACTCTTTGTGTCACATAGAAGTGTCTGCATGAGTGACTGACTGACTGGCTTCCTTCTGGCTTTGGTGGAAAAAAATAAAATAAAAACTGTTAAGGCTGCATTACTCAATTATTGACTGCCAGGGGCAAATGACTGACACACAGTTCTGGCATATTAGCACCACTATGACCTGCTTACACATCCAGCAGATTCAGAGTGACCTTATCAACCCATCTGATCTGTCAGAAGTGATCAATCCTCCATGGACACAACTGGGGCACAGTGTAGCCTAGTACACAATGCACATAATCCTACTGCTGTAATGATACTGAAATCTCTCTATAAACATGCAATGAACAATGCAATCATAATCATTTCGAACATGCTATAATCACATACACAATCTACATAGTGACTTTAATCAGGATGACTTCAAACCAAAAGGAGGAAGGGTGCCCCGGTGCTTCCATCCTTTGCTGAGGAGTCCTCGGGAACTACCGGTGTTGAACGCTTGTTGCACCCGGACACAATAAAGAGACGTACCATGGATCCTGGCGTGGAAAACAACGTGAAGGCCGTCAGGAGGAGTAAAGAGGAGAAGAAAGTTCTCCGAAAACAGATAAAGGCCAGTCACACTTTGCTGAAACATG